CTCTGTCAGCTGCATTCACTTAGGACGCTAACTCGCTTATTTTTCTTCCGGTTAAACATCACTCACGTGTCGAACCATTAGGGTTTCACGAGATCCTCCAATCCCAGGGTGATGACTAGAATTATCGTTTTTCACCACTGGGCAGTAGTTCCTTTTAGCTTGGTGTTTTTCATCGGTTCTACTGTTTATCATCCAACTTAGTGTGGCAACAGCAAACGTCATATGATAAGGGATCAGCGGAGTTCGAAACCGATCTACAGTGACACACTTCTTCAGTTCCGGTTTCCTTAGCGCTGTATACGACAGCGTTAATCATATAAACCGATTGGCCGCTTCACTACCCGGGTGTAATGAGTTATGCATGGAACGTTCTAGTCAATACATATTCCTAAATCCAGTTTACGATAGCGAGCGGTGGGGGAATACTTACTAATTTTATACAACCAACCCTTGCTTGAAGGGTAGTCAGCTTTGGTGTGGTCATTGGGTTGGATGGTGAAGTTTGGGTTTTTGAACTTCTGAACGTATTCTACTGACTCGTCGTTGGTTATGATCAGGTGTTGAGCTGAGCTCGCCAAGCTTACAATGTACACAAAGCAAGTAAGATTATGCAAAGTAGACAGGGATCGGGCCTATTTTGCCGAGAGGAGCACAACACGCTGTCGGGTAATCATTGAGGATCTGGTTTATCGTCCAGCCTTGTTGAGCTATCGATTTCGAGAGAAACTCCAGAGACCCATCCAGTTATGCGCGGACTCCGGCTGGGGTATCCGAGTAGTATGAATTTACAAGCTCTATGAGCTTCTCAGGTATGTCACCTGTTTTGATCATGTATCAGAAGGAGTTTTGGTGGACAGACTCCAAGGCGGCGGCAGATTGTCATCGCTTGCTGGAACTTTTAGTATTGTTTCTAGTTCTGATTTAAGGTACATATTGGATCAATACAGATCCTGCCACGATTGAAACCGCTGTATTTTACGCGGTTGCTCACATCTCTTTCGGTTGCGAAGTGATTAATCAGTATAACTGCAACCTGTTTGGCTGCTATGTCGATGAGACTGATGCCTCGATAGCTCTCGCATACGTTTCTCCCTTTTGAGGTTGGGCATTAGAAAAGAGATCTCCGCATCCCAGACCCCGCTAACTCGTTGTTGGCTACGAAATTGTGTGAGAACGCCGTACGCAGATACCCTTGGTTATTGACAGGAACATGCATCAAATCAAGCACACAGGGTATATCCCTGGACACGTACGTTGACAAAGCAGACTATCAGGCGTTATGCGCAGTTCGTATGTGTTCGGATCAGACAGCCAAGCGGGCAACGCATCAGTCAAAGTAGGCTGTTCAATGTTAACATCTGTTTGGTTGGAGCAGATCGATATTACAATAGTGTAAGTCTGCTTGACGTGTGTGCCAATTAATCAATAATGTTACAATTTCCAACCAGTTGTGAGCAACAACATTAGCGAAAGCAGTGGGTTGAGCAATACTGGTCTGTAAGAGTCAGTTATTTCCGGTGCAATACCTTTTTCTCTTGGGACCTTCGTACCTTCAATTTTAAAAACCGCATGTGGTTTCCTCCCTACCTGGTAGCTTGCAGTTCACTGTTAGGTTCACATTCTTTTTCCACCCATAGACAACCAGTTTATCTAGCGCGAATCGGTTGTTGGTTAAAGTGTTTAACGCATCTCACTGCATGTTTTTCACTTCTTCATATAAGACGGTCGCACCCGTGGTTGCACGGATAATATGGAACTAGAGTGGGTTGGGTTGGTGCAGGACGTTTAGAATCAAGGTAATAACAACAGGTTTTCATTTTTACCGTCAGCTAACCTCTGTTCCGCTTTCCTGCGCACGTTCCATATTCAGATTTCGGGTTTTGCAATTTTTTCAAACCGGACGAGTTTCTATCCACACACTGCGGTAGTCCTCAGTATGCGGCACCTGAACTCTTCAAAGGGGAACCTTATGACGGACCTCTGGCGGATGTCTGGGTAAGCTTATTAGTCCGATTGTGCATGTGTATGTGCGTTCATTTTACCTTCGTACGACACGGGCGCTTTTTGTGTTTCAGTCGCCTACCACGTAGACTGTCCGGGTTGATAACCCTCAAGTCACATTCAAATCCCTCCCTGAATTGCCGTTTTTAATACGAAAATACGAGGAAATTTGTCATTGTAGTTGAAGTTGCGCAATACACTTAGGTTGTTCAATAGAAGGCTTTATGTAAGGTGCAAACAATTCGGAGGTTCACTGTACTCAGGTTTACACTCGCGTAACTCCCCTCATCCAAAAGTGTGGTTAGTGGTCTTTTCGAATGACATTTGGAGCAGGTTGTACATACATGTTAATAACTGACTGAAAAAATGTTGTATGCTTTTGAGAAATTGTCACTTGCGCAATCGGTTTTCAGGAGGGGAGAATATTGGCTAATCAAAGATGGGGGATAGGGTATCTGGTTTAGATTCGAACCCACGGCGTCCAGATCGATATGATGGTGACAAACCATTTGACAATTGTCATCGTTGGCCATAGGTGACTGGTACCCCTCCCACTCTTAACCCGCCCACAGAGTTACTTTTTGTTTTCCTTTAAGTTCCTACCACTGACAGGGTAACTGATTTTCGATCTGATTTCTTAAATAACTGATTGTTTGTTCTGTAGACAACTATCACTTGGTGGTTTCGCTTCTGTGTGAATCTACAAACTATTCATTGAGTTGTGTGAACTTTTCTCTTCCTCAGACCTTACTACACTCTAAGTAAATAATAATCATAACGCTTGCTAGTGGTTTGCTAATGAGGATCCCGAATCATTGCTGTCTTCGTTTGACAGTGTGTAAAAACGTTCATAGAACCTTGTTTTGCATTACTTCTATCATTGTTGCTGTAGTGCGCTCTTTTTGGTTAATACTCATCGTCATCTTCATGGAACGAAATATACTGAAATGAACTTCGCTGATTGCTGGTTGGTAGTCGTTGAAAATATCTTATTTGCTGATATGCCAGGTACTCACTTGCTAGGTTTTTCACAGAACACGAGGAACGGTAGCTCAAACAACTGGTATCATTGAACGCTGCTCTCTCTCTCAGCGGCTTTCTACCAAAAATTGCACAAATAATCTACCTGCAATCTCAACACACTTTGTAATACTTTCGGGGGAAACATAGTTTTCCCCTGAGAATTTTCCACTATAACGATAAGAAGAGTATTTGAACCAATCGCTATCATAGCATAGTGCCGGTATTTTCCCGATGTTGATGGATTCTTGGGATGCGGAGTAACGGACAGAATACTGCAATCTGATCTGTCCGTTCCGTCCAACCATGTTCTCATGTTTTCCATTCTGGTAAAATCTAGACTGTGCGCAACCCTATGAATATAGCACGCTTTTTGGGCACTTTCAATAAACGCTTGCATTGATTTGCAATTGTCTTTTGACTGAAATCGTTGGGGAACCTATCATGGGGCAATCTTCGGCCATAAACTGGCAAATAACAAATTTTATTACGCAATGTGAATTAAAATAAAAGGAGGAATCCCTATTGACAAATAGCGCACTGTAAACAGTAGAGTAGGAGAACGTTCACGTAGGATTCAGTTTATTGATTCTGCTTTTAAAGAGTAAAAGGTTGTCATTTGGGGGGGGGAAAGATAGAATATGGGAGGGTGTTCCACAACTTGGCAGTTCGGGGAAAATATTGAAGCAGATAAATACAACATCTGGGAAAGGAAGTTTGGTAAGGGTGACTAGATGCCTGTGCACAGAATGAGCGGGTGAAATTTACAGAGAAAAGAACTGTGCGGACAAGTCCGGAAGAACAATAACCAAATTAGTAATGACAGCAGGGAGAATGCAGCAGCTGCCCGACGATTGGAGGTTAGAGAAGGATCATCGATCAGCCGGATGGCTTTTTGTTGAATGCCATCAAGAAGAGAAAGAGAAGAAGACGAAGCCCCCATCCCATGCTTGACTGCAGTATTCAAGAGTAGGGCATATTTAAGCTTTGTACATTAGAAGATAAGCTGGAGTGAGAAAAATCCTGGCGCGAAATTAAAAAAGCAATGTTTTGCGCAGCACGAGAAACAAGCAGGATAAGTTATGGACAAATTATAGACAATCACGACGAGACTGCACCTTGACGTGGTGTGATGGCTTGCGCACCTTAATGGGTAGAGGTCAGACGAAATGCAGTCTCCTGGTCCTCCAGGTTGGGGGTTCTCATGGAATTTGACGTTTCAGTCGATAAAACGTGTTGGAGGAATAATTGATCCAAGCTAATGGGCCTCCAATCCGCCTTAACCGCTGCCTTGCGGTTAGGTTTTTGTCAAAACTAAAGGCTTTGGTTGAGAACCCTAATCGTTCTCNATCGTTCTCCTGCTTAGTGGCTGGACACCCTAGCAGTACCCGTCCATAAAGCTCCAATGAACACATAAACAAAAAATAATTTCATACTGCATCGGTCGTCGCGTAGGATAATCAGGACCGCGCTGCCCATTGCATCGAGTGAGGTGGGTAATGATAAGTGGGCTACTGCTCAGATATCCCAACCTTTGTTTAACTCTTTGTCTTCCTTACCCAACCCTCTCCCTTTACCCCTTCTTCCAACCCGTGATATTCCCTCAGACAACTTGTTTGTCACTCGCCAAAGGTCTTTGCCAACTAG